CAGTGAACTACTCAGCATGCTTATGGAGGTGAAGGGTGACGTGGCAACGCTGATGGAACGGTTAATGTGAATCCCACTTTGGTAAAGAACAAATGGGGAATGAAGGAGGTTGCTGAGGGCGTTGGAAGAAAAAGGTGAGCTTAGGTACCGCCGGAAAAGATTACCGACGCAGACGATTTTTTCACTATTCCAGTCACTAACGCGTAGTCTCCTCTATGATTTTTTCCCCTTCTTTACAGCAATGCAGGTTTTGCTGGTGTCTTTTCAAGATTAACGCATTGGATCCTGCATTTAGCATTAAACCCCTGTCAGTTGTTTTATTTATGTGTGTGCAAGTTTGTGTTCCTTTCGGCGTGCAGGCAAACAAATTTTTGACGCTTTCAGACATGTTTTGTTGGAGAGTTGGAAGGAGGCGGAAGCGGAGGCGGAGGCGAAGGCGGAGGCGGAGGCGGAGGCGGGGGGTGGATGAGGAGCGTGGATCGACTCTTAAAATAAAGTGTTGAGGGACGGAGACACACGGAAACAAAACCAAGAAGGGAAAGAGAGAGATGTGGTGTTTGCCGTTGAGCAGATACACACGTAAGAAGCAAAGGGCGGGGATGTAGTTGTTGCCGTTGTTATTCCCCCTTTTTTGTTGCTGTTGTTTTCGTTTTATCTCCTTTTTGCTCATGTGTGTGTGTTTTTTTTTCCGTGTGTTTTTCCTCCTCCTTTATTTACTTTTTATTTGTGTTGTTGCGGATCCATTGGTCGGGTGGCTTGAACCACGTGCCCCTGCACTCTCGCCGCCGTGTGTGGGTTGGCAACGCAGGTGTTTTTTGTTTTTTGCTCCTCTTTTGCCGTGTGATCAAACTGTGTAGAAAACAAAAACAAAAGAGAGACAAAAGGGGTTTAACGGCCACTGTGAAACTCCCAGGATGCCAAGCAAAGCAAAGCACGAGACGCGGAGCGGCGGCGTGCTGGTGCCTAGCTTAGCTGTTGCTCTGCCACTGTGGGATGACGCGCAGCTACAACATGAACATTGGGGTGGCAGTCTCGGGCTACCGTCGCGACCCATCGGCACCGTAGTGGAGTTTAGGAATACAGAGGGCAAGATTGTGGTGCCACAGGATGAGGCGCAGGTTGAAGCATTCAAGGAAGCCATCGCATATGTTTATCCTGCTACAACAGAAATCTTTGTAGACTGGAAACGTCCTGCCAATATTTTTGCTCCATTTCGTCCAATGGTACACCGCAATGCGACACCATTCCTATCTCCATATGACGCGGAGCGGACTGTCTATGACGGCAAAGCTGCAGAGGAGGCTGCACAAGTGTCTGTTGCGCCTACCGGCAAAAAGGGTGATGGCAAGTCTGTAGTTCCTCCTGTTCCTCTACACGTGCAGTTCCCAGAAATTCTGCAAGTGTTGGATCCACAGGAAATTGAGGGCGCAGTGAAGGAATGGGAAGATGCTTCAAGTGAGAAGGTTATTGGGCGCTATCGCGAGATTCAGCCTCTTATGCAGGCATACGACCCAGACCTGGAGTTGGGTTGCGCTTCCACGCCTGCAGAGGCGTGTGAATTACGGTACACTACTGCGCAACGCCATAGACTCAACGAAGTGGATGCGATTTCAAAGCTTTCAGAACCTCCCTTATTTATGATGGATGCCTTTAATAGTGCCATCACATTTATGGAACATGCACAGTCATATGTTAAACATGGTGAGTACCTCTGGGAATTAGTGTATCCACATGCTCCGGGCACATGTCACCCAGTGTATAACCCGCACGGAAAATACGTTGTTCGACTTTTTATTGATGGCGCCTTTCGTCGGGTTACAATTGATGACTATTTGCCAGTAGATGCCTTGGGTCGGCCTTTTTTAACCTTAACGTCACAGAAGGAAATTTGGCCGGCTTTGTTGGCGAAGGCCATCTTTCAGGCGTTGGGTGTAAACCGTCATCTTTTATTTACTGATCCGGAAACCATCATTACGTGTTTGTGGGGAGAGTGGGTGCCGCAACGCGTTGACCCCCGCACTCAGCCTGCCTCGGCCTGTGCCTTCCTGTTGGCGTATCGGAGAGACCTGGCAAAGAGCGACAGTAATACAACACACTTTTCAGCCTCAAATACGGAGGAAGCGGCGACGGTCGTCGTGCCAGAGAAAGGTGAACCAGTAAAGCAACAAAAGGCTGAGGTGATTGACGACGGTGCTACAAAAAAAACCTCAGTGACGGAATTTGAGGGGATCACACACACCGATGCCCCTGCGGAAGTGGTTGCATCTGATGATGCAACAGCGCTTCCGCTCTGTGCGCTAGGCCCTGTGGAGGATGGAAAACGAAGACTTTTTGTCATCCATGAAATTCTCTTGTTTCGTGATACTTTGGCAATTCACGTCTCGTCCAATTCTCCGGCCCATACCCTCGTGTCAACAATACTATCGGATACAAGTAAGGATGAAAGTGTACAGAATTTACTGCGTTTGCCAGCGTCTCAAGAGGGAGGGCAAAAAGTGTCTGAAGCTGTTTTGGCAAATCAGTCCACCATATGGATTACTTTTGAGGAGTTGTCTGCCCAAGTGGACCTTGTGGTGTGGCGATATTTGGGTGAGAAAAGCCCTTTCCACTTTTGTAACCGCCTTCTTGGAGGTGAGGATGGAATGTCGATGCTAGTAAATGCAAAGAAGAAGTCTGTGGCTTCCACAGGAGCAACCAGCTTTGTGAGTGGAGGGAAAAAAAATATTGTTCGTTGGATTCACGTGAATTCGGATCAACCAGAGCAGCTGGCATTTGTTAGCTTGTCGGCCTTCTCCCTTCCTGTGACTCCATTGTTGCAAAACCGAAGTTTTCGGCACTCCACTGCTTCAGAAAGCCGACCACTCTCTGTGAATTCGTTGGCCCTTTCAGTCGACAGCAGAACGCAACGAGAGACAACGCAGGATATGCTGATCGATCTCTACACTTGGGAACGTGGTGGCGCGTTGAGCCGAGTGGGAAGTTTTGCGTACGAAACCGGCAAATTGCAGTGCATGGTGCACTCCCTTCCGCCTGGTTCACATATTTTTTGCCTGACTCTTGTGGACCTTAAGCCTCAGCATTTTCTTAGTTTACTCTCAACGCGGGAGTTAGTGGTGGGGGAGGAGAAGGACGCCCTTCGCTCCGCCAACATCTTCAAAATGAAGGATGCAGGGAGTCATATGGGGGTGGAAAGAGCGAACGAGGAGGTGATATGGTTCAAACGCCTAATCACCGTGAAGGAGCCGACTGTCGTCTCCTTTGTTGTCTCGACCCTTGACCCCAGTGAAGACCCTGCGGCCCATCGTGATGTTCCTGCCAGTTTGACGAAAGAAGTGAAAGGAGCAAAGGTGCGCCCGGTAAACACGAAAACGCCACAAAAAGATTTTGCGGAGGGGGTCCCAGTATGTGTCGTGGATATTCCTATTATTCCACATTGCCATATTTTGTTAATGAACCTCGACGATGGTACAGTCCGTCCTGGTGTGGTGGGGCATCTTATGCGTCAACAGCTTGAGCCCAATCAACAAGGATATTTGGTTATGGCGTACGTGTTGATTGACTCGATGTCTGCGTTTTCCTTTATAGATAGTTCTATGAGCGTGACGCTTGAACCTTGCGCGAAGATGCGCGAAAGTTTGAATTCTCTCACTTTGGATGAGAAAGGGAAGACCAATGCGCGTGAAAAGCCATCGCTACTGTACGGTAAAGGGAATTGGAAACTCACAATGTCTGCGAATCGAGGGTTTGAATCATACAAGACCATTATGCATAACGTTTTTTCATTTACAGATAGGGGCCAATTGAAGCGAGGTAGCAATGCACTGCTTTTTGCTTACACGTGTTCCGTGGTGGAGCGAACATACCTGACGTTGATACTTGACCTTGACACACAAGACCCGATTCCATTTCAAGTCAAGGTGATGCGCAACGGTGTGGAGGCACCTCCGGTGTTTGTTTCGGAGACCTGTACCAAGCACCTCTTTCTCCCACACGTTACACTTGTGATGGGTGAAAAGGCAAGGTCTACTAGCTACGTTGTTGAAGCGTGGCTGGATGAAACCATGGTACAGGTGTGGGAGGAGAGGCGTCGTATGGCACAAGAAATGAAATTTCATTTGCTGCGCGCAGATGCTGAACAAAAGGCCATAGAAAGACGTGAACATGAGCTTGATGAATACTACGCCGATCCACGTGCTTTTCAGGAACGGTTGGAGCATCCGAATGTAACGCAGGTGGAGCCTGTCAATAATACCTTATTGGTGCGAGAAGTGTCAGTGACATCCACCAGGAGGGGACGCGTTTACGCTGACAAGCGGAAACACCCTGTGGCTACATCGCCGCCTGAAAAGCTTGTAACTTCGGCTGCAGGCTCATTGACAGCACCCAATTCAGCTTTTTTTTTAATAGATAACGCGGACGGGGAGCTGATTGTGAACTTCTTTTTGCGATTGCAATTTTCTTCAAAAGCGGATGTCAAGAATGGGGCTCCACAGAAGGACCCGTTGGCAACTCTGCGTGCGGGTTGGGTGCCACCGATTGAGCATGCTGTGGCGGATCAAGGCGCTGGCGCCATGCAGCGGGGCATTGGAGTAAAAGGGAAGCAGCGAGAGGCGGTGTTGTCAGCGGAGGATTTGCTGAAGGCTGATCAAGGTCGCCTGAGTCGACAGCGTTTCCTAGAGAATCCACGGAACATTCTCTTCCCTTATTTGACGTCTGAAGAATGCTTGGCCCCAATCAAGGAATCCGCACGCGCAACTCCACCTAAGGAGCAAGTTCCATTCCCTGGGACCGTATCCCGCGTGGTGTTGGATGTGTTGGAAGAGGCAAACTACCCGCATGCGCCCATTTTAAGTGAGTCAGAATACCGTATCAAGCTAGCTTCTCTCCGCGCTGTGGAAATCGTGTCGCCTGTCAATGTGATACTCCCAGGGAGTGCTTCTGGTCCCGCACAACAACGGATAAAATCACCGGGTGAACGTTTTTCACCTCGCCAGGCAGCTTTGCCGGTGTCGACCTTCGTGTCCAACGCAGCAGCAGAGGAGGATACAAATATTGCCGAATTAAAAGCACCCTTGCAAGTTCTCTCCCGGCGACTGACAGAGGATCTGAAACGAGAGCACGAGAAGAGGATTGAGGGTCGAGAAGGTGCCAAGGAGATCATGCGTGAATTCTGGGGGATGCAGCAGCCTGGTGTTGCTCACGTTTCTCTGTTGGGTTACAAGGAGGAGGACTTTGCTAAGCGACAGAAGAGCCGCCAAAAAGGCTGAAATGGATGAAAGACCTGCACATGTGTTTCTATATGTCTGTTGAGATGTGCGGAAGCCGGAGTGGGGTGACACATGCCATGAATGTAAATAGCGACGAATACACGGTACACCGTGCATTCTGTTTTGTATTTTCATGTGGTTCCATTATCGCACCAGAGGTTAACATATGTTTGTGCTACCTTATGTAGGGGATGCATTGTGTATATAATGTCGTCCGCAATGAGACTTCCTTTATTTGTTTCTCTGCGTCTGACGGTCTTCGTTGCTGGCTGTTGGGTTGCGACACCGTCAACGTTTCTATTTTTCACATAATCTTTTTTTTTTTGTTTTATTTGTCTTATGTAGTAGTGCCTGTTTTTGAAACGATCTCTGTTGCACGGCAATTTCCGAGGCTTAACCACACTAGGCCCAATCCACACATCATAGTCTGTCTGGCGCAAGGAAGGGTATAGGGAGAGAAGCTTATAGACAGAGAAAGGAAAGTAAAAGCAAAGGGAAGAAGGAAGGAAAGGACTGCATCAAGGAGAAGGAAAATAATAATAAGGAGGCCTCATTTGCGGCTTATAGGATTCAAGGGGGGGAAAAAAGAGAAGGTCCTTTTTTTTTTTTTGAGTTTCTCTTGGAGTAACTCATTTTTTTTTCTTTTTTTTTGTCTACCTATTTATTTTTCTCTTCGTTAGTTTTTCTTTTTTTTTTGTTGTAGTTGTTCTTTGTTTTTTTTTTGTGTTTTTTTTTGTTGTTGTGAGTGGCTTGCTTTTTGGCCTTCGTAAATCGGCAACGGGCCATCTTCTCGGCCTAAACGCATCGTGGCTTCGGCGCCTGCATCTCGTCTTCTGAACCGGCCCTTTTCTCGCAAGACAGAATGAGTGACTTCGTCTACGACGTGAGTCTAGGCAGGCAGTCAAACAGCGGCCGAAGCAACATCAACCTCGACCTGGACTCGCTCAACCACGACCCCGCCACGCTCTTTTCCACAAGCTTCATGGGCGACCTTGATGTGGACAGTGATAGCGCATTAATGGAGCGGGCGTTTGGGTCGCTTTCAGTGAAACCCAGCAAGTTGGACCCGGACGCTCTCACAGCACTTGATGATGTGCTGCAGACGAACATATTGGACGAAGCGGGGGGTATTGATTTTCAACACTGCTGCCAGCAAATTCTGCAAGAGCCGCAACAGGACCATGAGAGCGAGGGAAACGGGGGGCAGGAGCTTTACCAACTACCTTCCTCCGGCCGGACCGACTCTTTGGGAGGCGTCAGCCCTTTGTATGAGACAACACCGCGCTCACTCGATCCAGTAGATACCAAGTGCAAATACGCCATGCCGTCGTTGACACTTTCCACCAACAGTGAAGCCGTGAGGAAGTCCTTAGCAAGTGAGTCACAAGGCCCTGAAGGTAATGTGTACTCGTCCATTACAGCAACACCACTGCAGGGGAGAGCATTGGACTTTCGGAGTTTTTTATCAAAAAAACAGTTGCCCCCTGCTATCCTAAAGGAAGCTTCTGTTGGTGTCTTTGTGGGCCAGCTGCCTTCAACGTACTCCGAAGAAGATGCTGCTGCTCTGCTTCGAGCCATTGGTGCAGATGCTGGGGGTGCCGGTTCACGCACGGGACGTGAAAAGCCACAATCAAAGCCGCACCTGTGCATTTGTTGTCGTCAACCGCAGTGCATTGCCAGTGCTTCTTGGCTACTCCAAACGTGTGTTGTGTGATGTGTCATGCGTTTGGGTTGTAGAGCGGGAACATGCTGCTCATTTGAAATATTATATCAATGGCTTCTTGCGGGATCGTCTTCGTGGCGTTCCTAAGGCTGCTCTTGTGCTGGAGGAGCTAACCCCACAGTACATGCGAAGTCGCACCTCTAATGGCAAAGGAGGCAAATACAATCGAAATAAAGGGAGCACGGCTGTTGCTACAGAGAATCTTGCCATCATGGGTGGAATCACCCATGATTGTAATCCCATTGTAACTCCTCACCCGTTTGAAATGAACCTCGTTTTGCCAGGGTGGAATTCCATGGAGACGTCAGGCCTAACTTTTTGCACCGTTTTGAATAATGCCTGTGCCCCGCCACTGTTGAACACGCATTCCGCCTCAAATGTTTCTGGTGTTATGCGGAACCATGGATTCTCCACAGCACCGGTGACGACGGCGGCAGCCCCTGCTCCCCAAGTCAATTATTACGTTGTTGGTGCGTCTCCAAATGGATTTCAAAGCCTTGCGCCGAGTCATGTGAATGGTCAGCTGTTATTTCCACCTACAGTAAATGGAGGCGGTAATGGGGCCAGTGGTGGAGCTGGAAATCCAGTGATGTCTGCCCCATCGTTTTTACAAGATGTCCGCACTGCACGTAATGCTGTTCCGTCATTCCCAAACCCGTCTGAGGGTGTGTCACGCTGTTCTGTGTGCTCTGCAACTTTTGGAGCGATGGAGCTCGTGTATTTGTTTCCTCAAGACAATGCCGTGATGTGCACGCGTTGCAGTAGTCAGCGAGTTGCTGGCGGTGATGCATCGCAGGTTACAAGAGGAACACCACCGTTTATTGTGCCCCAGTCAAACTTGGGTAGTCTTCCGCAGCCGTCAGTTGTAAACCCAACGATGCTACTAAACACACTTCCGCCGTATATGCCAGTGTCTAACCTGCAAAATCCATTGATGCCTCAGGTACCGCAGCTACCATATTAGCACAGCAACAGCAGCAATAACAACAACAAGGATACAGTGTAAGCAGTGGTTGGTAACATGTGTAAAGGTGGCTAATCAATGAGTACTTGTTTTTTTTTTTTGCTCTCTCCCCTCTTCTTTGGTGTTTGATTCTTATTTTTCGCTTTATATTCTTCCTCCTTTCACCTTTGTCTCTCTTATTCATGTACGGCGACGGTGGGCTGGGGGTCTCCTGATGTCAGCAAGAAGTAAGAGGAGAGTGACGGCTGAAGTCTCGGCCGGAGTCACCGTCGTGACAGTGAGGGAAAAGGGCGTAAGGGAAGGCAACTGCGGCGAATAGCACAAGGAAATATACATCAAAAGCACCAAAGTTTTTGGACGTCTTTTTTTGTTTTGTTTTGTTTTGCCGTGTTTTTTTTTTCTTTTTCTCGATGTATTGTACTTGAGGCGTCGTATCGCTTTCTTGGTCCCCTCCTGCCTCGACCGTTTTTAACAGGTTATCTCTTCACTTCGGCTCGTACTGTTTCTTCCTGTCATCTTTCCAGGAGGCGGTGCAACGACGCAGGGATGCCGTTAAAAACACACACATAATACAT